GGAAGAATGAAAGGGAAACCAGGATCCAGCCACAGACACCAATTCCTTCCTGCCTGTCAGCTATAAAAAATATAAGGAAGAGGAGATAGAACAAAAAGTTTGAGAAGTCATCCCAGGGATGTACATCTAGCCTAGGGCAATTACATGGGACCACGAAGTCCACAGAAATTCACTCCCTCTTCCTCCCTCCCATCACTCAAAGAAATCCATAACACATCTAACCAAACTTTATGGCCCTTCTACACAGAAAATTTAAAAACATTCAGAAAATACATTTTTGCAACAGGAAAAATGAGGAAAATGAAAGACATTATCAAAGATGGGGGATGTGAAGGAGAAATAAATGAATGGGTGGAGTAACCACGAGTATGAAACTGCTGGGTGGGGCAAAGGATTTTGTCTGTGTGAAACAAGCAGCAAGGTAAATGAGGGGAAGTCCTGCTTTCTTTAGATGAACATTTTTAGGAATATTAATGGACCTGTCCATCCACTGGACTGCTCAGCAGAACTTCAAAATTACTGCTTGTCAAAATGCATGCTCATGTATTTTAAGCAGCTGTCTTAGTGCATTCAGCTCATCTCAAAATTTCGTTCTAATAAAATAGAACAAATCTAAAACTAATTGCATTATTTTAGTGCCTGAAGGAAAGGCAGTAGCAAGGTAAGTTATTTCAAAGGTGTAGGGCAGCACTGGAAATTTCTGATACCAAATAAAACTCACATGCGGACAGAAATGAGAAACAGGAAACAATTCAATTTATACTCTGTAAGAAAAAAATCCTCAGCTTGTCAGGACCCTAAAAGAGCACGAGGCTTCCTGATCTGTAAGGCAGGAGCTGGCAGACCAGCAGAGCAGGACTGACAAGTGTGTCAGAACATTCCCAGCAAGCCGGGAGAAGGAGGACACACAGCACAGCCCCTGCCCCTCCTGGGTCCTTGTGCGTGGCCAGACTGTGCCTGCTGCAGTGGTGGCTGCACAGCCGGCTGTGACATCCAGCCCTTGGCTGCTCCCAGCTCTGCCCATTCTGCTTCTGAGGCCCCTGATGCAGACTGAATTATCACATGTGAACACATTTGCATTCAGAAGGGTCGGGGTTCAGGTTTCCCAGAGAGCTGGGCACAGAACTGGTGTGCCAGGAGCCCAACTTTCCTCCTCACCCTTCCCAAAAACCCAGCAATTTTAAATCACATCATTGTTTATGATGTATCAGCAGGCACTTTGCCATCAGTGGCAAAATTGATTTGAGGAGCTTCCCTAAGCAAATCACTGTGCAAACCTTAAGGCCATGTGTATAAAAACAGGATTATTAGGATTTAGTGTGAAAATCTTTAATCATTTCACTGTTATCTGTTCTCCACACAGTGTGCTTCACATTACACTAGTGGTGTGGCAGGCTACAACAGGTACATAAAGTACCAGCAGTCAAGTGTCTTTTAATCAGTGAAAAGAGATCAAGCAAAGTCATAGAATAGGCATCATTCACAATTCTTAATCTGAAATCTGAGCAAATTAATCATGAAGGGATATTTTGTTCAGCAGAACTCAATGCTTTTACTCTCTCCTAATTTCACATAAATGAACAGCTTACAGAAAATATCTGAAGATCTTTTTCTCCAGTGACAAATTTGGTTATGAAAAACCTCCTTTGCAATTTTGGGTTGTAGCATCATCCACCCGAGCCCACTGTGAGGATGCCTGGTGAGAATGACACAATCCACAGACAGGGGAATAGATGGGAAAAAATGCCAGCACTCAGCAGATTGACACTCAAGCAGCCAAGAAGAGAGTTTTCATCTCCAGTCTATGTTGTACATCAAATGTAGATCAAACGTACCTTTTTTGTTTGGTTAATACTGCTCCTTTTTAATATCATGGAGAAGAAACCCAAAACACACAAAACAAGGCTTACCAATTAGATGTTCTGTGTTCATTCTCTTGGGCCTCTCTGTCTGGGGATCCATCCCCTTAGAGGGAAGCTCTGATCCCCTCACAGATGGGACAGCAGTGAACCTTGAAACTGCAGGGCTCGTGCAAGGTGCTGAAGAGAGAGGCAGGATGAGAGAAGAGAAATCCCCTGTATGAGAGTCTTCTGGGAGTTAGTTACCCTGGTGAGGAGAGGATGTTCCCAAACACCAAGTCTTGTGTCTCTGATGTAACTGGATGGTATTCGCTGGCCATGCTCTGTCTGGGGTGCACTTGGCCCAGCTGGTCTTAGGCCCCAAAAAATACAAGCTGGAAATAATTTCTATGAATCCATCACCAGAGATTAAAACACCCATGAAAAATACAAGAAGATAAAAGTAATTCCTGTGAGGAGCAACCAAGGTACAGCCTGAAGAAAATGAGGCTCAGGGGATATCTCAACCCTCTCCACACCTGCCTGAAGAGATGTTGTAGCAAAGTGAGGATTGGTCTCTTCTAAAGAAACAAGCAACATTTTAAGAATAAATGGCCTCAAGTTGTGCCAGGGGAGGCTTAGATTAAATATGAGGAAAAACTTATTTCACCAAAAGAGCTGCCAAACACTGGAACAGGCTATGCAGAGAAGTGGTAGATGTGGCACTTCAGGATGTGGTTTAGTGGTAGACTTGGCAGTGCTGGGTTAATGGTTCAACTGGATCTTAAGAGGTCTTTTCCAACCTATGATGTTACAAAGCCAGAAGGCAGAGATTGCATGCTGCTCCTCTGCTGTTTTGGGGCTCAGCTGCTGTCCAGATCTCAAATACCAGCATAATAAGTAAACAAAACTCCAGGTGAGGTCTCCAAACTGTGTAGAATAGCTCACCACACCTTTCTTCACACTGTCCATCAGTACAGGCTGAGCCTTGTTGAGCTGGATAACCTAGACACCGTAGCAGAAGCATTTCAGCTCCCAAGGCCTAAAATTGTCCCCCAAGTAAGAGCATTGTTCATAAAATATTTTGACAACCAAACTAAGCACAGCATTTCAGACTAAGCCATTTCTGAAGGCTGTAGCAGCAGAGAGCTACCCTCTCAAAAGACAAGGCTGTTGCTTGTTATTTTAACAAAATATGAGAGATTGGGGTTTTTTTTCATATGTAATTTATGAGTTTGATATATAGCTGCATTAATTACAGGGCTAGTTTTTGTGGGCATCTGTTATCTACAATATCTATGAAGATCTGGCTCCAGCTTCATTTCACCCTAGACTTCATCCCTGCCAGTAATCACCCTGGTCCCAGACGGATCATTCAAAGCTGATTGTTCCCCAGAGAATACTTTTACAGTCTCACAGAGAAGAAACTACACCCACCCCTGAACTGACATTTTAAATTCCACTGAAAGCCATAAGTACAGCCTGAAAAACCAGGATTGACAGGCTTATTGCAATATGCTCCCAAAAATGTGACAATATTCATTTTGGGCCATTTGTAGCATTTTCATCATTATTTGACTTCTAAACACTGAGCTATATGATCACACATCTTCAGGACAGATGCTTACAATAGGGTAGCATGCATGAACAGCGACAAGAAAAATGTGGTTTAATTATTACAGAAGCAAAAACATAATATGCAAAACTATCCCAACTTTTTTTTTAATTTTACAGCAAAAGTAAAGTTAATGAAAATAGCTTAATGCTGAACCATTTGAATGCCACAATTTAAACAGCTGTTGATACCACCATATAAATGAGCAACACATACTAAAAGTTAACAGATATAATTGCTCCCTGTTTATTGACAGCCCCCTGAGGTGACTGTAAATATAGGTGAGTAAAGCAGATGGTGTTTTTTGTTGGTGTTCAGGAACATCACAATATTAGTTTTTTTCATTTTATTGTAAAATGCACTTTTTTTCCCTTTTGAAAATTTTGAAATCTGTCAGGGCAATCTTAATGCTTTCTCCCTGGGGCTATACTGGGGCATGTGGATAACTCATGTCCCAGATTACTACAAACCACTCAGAGATTAAAACATGAGAGCTCTGGGGCAAAGCAGTTTACAAGCTGCAATTTCACTGGTGCTGAACAGCCTGGTGCACTCCTGTGACACAAGGCACAGCCACAAAGACTGAGCTCAAAGCTGCTTCAGCAGAACTTACTGATTTAGAAGCCACATCAGATGACTGTGCTTCAGGCTGCTCGCAGTTCAGCTATTTCTGCAGTTTTATATTTGTGATATAGCCAAAGGTTTCCACTTCTATTCCAAAAGCAGCACAAGGGCTCAGGTCAGGCATGATCAAGTGCTTACCTGTAGGCACACCATTCTCCAACATTGCTCTGCACCAGTGGCTACATTTACAAATGGCACCAATCTTTTACAATGTCTCTACAATGTCTACTTTCTCCCACTTACCTCATCATCATCCAGTTGTAGAGACTTAATCCACAGCCATTTGTAAACAGTGTCAGTCCCAAAAATGCAAAAAAGAATTGTCAGGCAGTCCCCACATGAGATTTGCAAACAAAGTTGTAGGTTTAAATGTGCCTTTTTCTGACCTTCTTAGGCCTATACTTTCTTTCCCATGCACTGGGCTTTGGCCTCTCCCTATGGATTCTCAGCTTAGTCTTTTCCTGGCCCCAAGTTCTGGCTACTTGCTTCAGGCACAGCATTCCCTTTCCCTAGGTCAAAATTAAGGAGACAGGACAGGACAGAGCAGATTAACAGTACTATCCTATTGCTTGTAAGAGCATCCCCATATTGCTGCTCCTCCGCATGAAAATGGTATCAGCTTTCAACAGCTGAAGATCTGGAGATGACAGAAGGTCCCCCTTTGGCCACTAGAGTAAATATGAGAGAGAAATAAAGGTATTGCTCCTCCAGCAATACAGAAAGGAAGGCAACTTGCAAGAAAGTCAGAACATTCATACCATGGCAAGTATCCTTTCAGGCCCAGGCAAACTCCCAACACTCATTTGCAGAGGAAAAGGACAGAAAATTACTTTGTTTCTCTCCTATTCACTGCAGCTGCAATTAAAGCACTTAAAAGAAACATTGAAACTTGTTTGCAAACACAATCCCGGTATGTTCTTAAATTGTTGCAAAAAAGGTTTTATTTCAAGGAACGCTTCACCACACTGTATCTATGCAGGCCGTCAGTACACAAGAAACAGAGCAGTAACAGGCAACTTGAACAGTGAAAAAAATGAGTTAGTCCAGAATTAAAATCATACAGCAAGAGCCCTTTCCTGGCACAGGCTCAGTTTAAGGTTGTTTGCCTCAGGAGCAGACATTTCCTTGGCTGTCTAAAAATGGTGCTCAAGTAAGCATGAAAGAGCTCAGGACAAATCACTCCCTTCAGAAACTCCAAGGCTGGGTCACAGCAGTTTGCTGCAATGCAGAACACAGACTCTATTCCTGAAGAGGAAAAAAATTAATAAAAAACAATTTTACATCAGGAGAAATATTTCAAAAATTGAATTTTAATCCTAACAGTGGAGAGTTCATTTACAAATCCAGCACAGTAAGATTCAGTAAGGTTCAGTAAGAACCAGAGAGCCCATTCCAGACATAAAAACTTTACAACTAAACATTTCTCAACCTATTCACTTGTCTAAGACCGATGGGAGCATCAAATGCTCTTCTCTGCTAAAGGGGCTGGACAACACCCAGTAACTACATTGCAGGAGAGGAGCATTTAACACAGTGGATTTCACTACTTCTCACCTGTTTTCATTTGGAGAAACACAGCTTGAGTCTCTTCGGCATCTCTGAGTTGTCCAGTGCTCAGACAGGAACCCCACACCCCATGACCATTCAACAGATATTTTTAGAAACAGAGGCACAAAGTGCTTATTTCCTGACAAAACAGTATTACTTGCTTTTGACTACAGGGTGACATGAATTAGTTCAAACTTTGATTGTCTGATGGGGAAACTAGAATTAAAATAGGATGTCAGACTCAGCACCTCAGTAAGGTTACAAAACACTTACTGACTTAGAACTGGTTTACATTCACATCCAGGGGAGAAAAACCAATTTGCTCTTAATAAGATACCTGTATCTTTATTTTCTCCAACTCATCTGCAAATCTACAAAGAACAAGTTATGGACAGAATGACAAGCAGAATAAAATGAAAGATGGTAGAGACCTCTTCCACAGATTTCTTAAGTCAAGATATCAATATCCGAGATATCAATTTTAGGAGCAGTTCAGAGTGGAGAATCATGAGACTTTAACAGGTTTCACAAAATAAAAAAATGTAAGAACACAGTATTTTTTTTTTAGATTTAACATAATACATAAGTTTGATTATTAAGATGTCAAAGAATTTAAGTTTTTCATCTAAAAATTAAATAGGATATTTCTAATGTCACTCCTTAAGAAGTAAATTTTATAATTTTGGACAGAATTCTGCATCAAAAAGAAATGACATAAAGCAAGATCAAGATCAGTAGAAGTGTCTTAGTAAAAACAAGTTTATTCATTCATATTTTAGGTAAATATGCAAATAGTCAGAAAGGCTTTTTGCCATGACTGTAAACTTTTTATTTAAAAAAATTATGTTAAAAACCAATACAGTAATTTCCATTAATGTTCTAAAAAAGTCTGTTCACATCTTGAAAGAAAATACATTAGCAACATCTCCCAGCATCATCAATCTTTAAAAAAGTAAAACTCTAGGTGCAGAACATTTCTACAGTGTAGTATCTCTACATTTTAATTTAGTCACATGATTGAATATCATTCATCTCTATCGTCTCTAGATCATGATCAAGAGCATACCTTAAATAGAAGATATTCAATAACGTGTTACACATTGCCCAGATACTAACATTATTAGAAGAGTGCACAACTCAATTTCACTAACAAAGCAAGACCTTTCTATATGCTGCATTGTAACAATTAAATTAGCTATATGCCTTTAAAATCATGTATGTTTTCCAAGGAAAAATACTAAAAAAATCCATGGTCCAAATTCTGCTCCCACTTATATTCACAGGATATGATAAGCACCATCAAGTTGTAGTTTATAGCTGAAAAGCATAAAGAGAAGCAGTTTGTTTGTGAGTATAAGGGAGAGAAGAACTTGCCCCATGTCTGTAAACATTCACATAAATCTGCAGTCAAAAGTGCCAGATAGGCAGCCTATCTGCAGTACAATTATTTCATTCAGAGGGATGCTGGAGGCAAGGAGAATAATGGAACATTATTTTAGAGGCAAGTTAAAATGTTTTTATGTATTTTGGAAAGACATATTCTCAGCTAGCTAAACCATACTCCAGTAAAACATAATCCACTTCTACCAAATACAGTACAGCATAATTTCCTAGCTTTCTTGTTCAGACAAAGGAGTACTCAATTCAGCAGCAAGCCCATGACAGTATTTTGAATCATAAGAAAAACCCCCACATACCTCTGACCTACCCTCCCCTTAACATACTGCTGATGCTAACAGGAGATCTTCATACGTAGGAAGAAATCACCTGAAAAACCATAAACTGACCTTGATTTGTACACACACAAGAAGTGTGCTTCTAGGCAAAAGGTCGTCTACAGCTTGAATTGTCTAGTTTCAGTCTAGATCTCAGTCTATATTAACCACATATACCATACAAAACATAACAGAAAGATAGGTGCTTATTCACACTATTGAGTATACTTGGTCTCCCTACTCAGCTTGACAGTCAATTGCCCTATTTACAGAAACATCTGTTTGAATGCTCCTGATCCTGTAAGACACCAAACATTGAACTCTTAAAATTTAAGGAGAGTCAAGGATGCAAAGCAATTCACAGGATCAGACCCTGAATCAAACTGAATGCTATTCACAAATTAAATTTGACATCTGACACAGCCTCCTGGAAACAATTTACCCTCATGTTTTCCCTTTCTTTCCCCAGCTCAGACCATGCTCCCACTATCGCAGAGACAGCCTTCAAAGTGAATAGGATCAGGTTCTGTCAAGCAAACACTGCAGTCTTTATGCATTTACTGGTATTTACTGCCATCCACTCTGAGGCAGACTTGTCTGCAATGAAAATGGTGTTCCTGGTGTTGATGGATAGTTAGCAAAACCTTCAGGCTGAGCTGTATAGTTCTCCAGAGCAGAAGCAGAATGCGCCTTTAAGGAAGATAAGAAGTTAAGAAACAGCACTGATAAAAACAAGGAAACAAAAATCTAAATTAAGCAAAATTTCAGCCACAATACCAGTCCTGCTCAAGCTAAAACAAATGGATTATATTCTGAAGTGTGCAAAGAATAGAGATGAGCAAGGTATCTATACAAAGATGTTAATCTGTAGTGCAACTATTGCTCTGAAATACCAGAGAATGAAAAAAGCACTTGGATTAAGGGGGAAAACAAAGAAGTGTTAATAGCACCAGCTGATTTGGAAAGCACAGTTTAATCAGAAGCTGTAATATTTTAGTGACTCAACTTTCCTTCTCTTCATTGCTCAAGTAAATAAGTGTTAATTTTAGTGAGTGGATCATATAAATAAGAATAATTACATTTCCTCAATGCAATCTGCATACATTTCTACAGAACAAATAGACTCCTGAGCTGCAAAAGCATGGTCTAGGTGAAGTAACTTGCTTCTTCCAATCCCCTGATATTCAGAAGATATCTGACAATATGCTGCACTCTGAACACTACTTAGACACATGTTCACTTCAACAGCTGAGGTGTCGCAGAAGAGAGAAAACGTTAAGTCAAGACACTCAGCTCTCTCTTTCAGTATTATGTAGAGAAGGTCAAATTTCTTACAAGAGTCTGTACAGAGCCTGTTTTTAACAAAAGACAAGCTGAACATATAAACACAAAGTCTGATGATAGTTTCAGTTAACTTATGTAGGTTGATGGGTGAAACAAGCTGTTTCATGGACAAGAGATGATGAAATTACACATTACCCAAAGCCACTTCAAGCTTATATTACAATTCTCTCTGTGGGAACTATCAAGAGAAGGGCACAACCACAACAGACACAAACTCAAGACAATCTGATTACATGTGCAGAGGCACATAACTCACAACAAATGGTCCACAGAAATCTGTAAGTTATTCAAATGTCAGACTGGAACTGAGCACAAATTTTGCAATGGTTTGATCAGCCCATTAGATTTAACACAAACCCAGCAAAAAAATTAATTTGCATTATCTTTTCTTTTACTTCTCTCCATTTTACAAAAAGTTTTAGATAATGTTTTAATCTCATTTATGAAGCATTGTACACTGGCCTTGACTAAGAAGTAAGCACAAGTTGTTTTTTATCATGATCGTTGTAATCAGTTCTCACACAATTTAGGGGTTTTAATAATTTACTGATTTCAGCTAACCCCAATGAGTTAGCAGGCAAGTACATGCTCAAGAGATCACTGGAAGTAGAACACTACTAACAAATAGGCACATTACCTGTAGTAGTGCTGACTGTGCAGCTGCACTGTGCTGCAATTCCTGCAAGGAAGATTGTGCGGCACTTTGGGGAAAGCCAGGGATACCAGGGAGAGATAAGAGACCAGGAAAAACTGCATTTCCTGGAGTCTGTAGTCCAGAAGTCAAGCTGAAAGAATGTCAAAATGAGGCTATTATTAGGAACATCTGTACCATGTTCTGTTTCCCTCTCCATAAGCTTATGTCTATATAAATTACAAAAGCAGTTCTTTTTCTAAATCTCAAAAGGCTAGAATTTCTAAATTGAATTCCAGTCTTTACCCACCTAAAAATTAATCATACATACACAAATCAAGATTCTCTGGAACACACCTAAGGGGACTCAAAATGTTTTGTACCTCAACTGTGCTGATAGTTGGCACACAAAAAAAACTTTACAGACAAGAATTTATGCTGACGACTTCCTTAAAATATCTAAGATACTGGCTGCTATTACCTGTGTGTGTCAATGGATGCCCACGTAGAATCCATTATTGTAAAACCTCATCTGGGAAATAAAATCACTGAGCACCTCACTGGATTAGACTGTCATACCAGGGACTATGAGGCCAACCTATTTAGTCACTACCCTATCAGCTTCTAAAAACAAGTTGAATTCTAGTAGTGGACTAACTTTAAAAATTATCTGCAATTAGTAACTATGAGTGAAAATATTGTCTACACACCTAAAATAAAATCAGTGTTTTGTTGATAAGAAAAATAAATAGTTCTGACCTCCTCCAAAAACAGTAACATACCCAGCCTGTGCCACAAGTGCAGAGTTGAAGTTTGAGCTAAAGGCCGAGGCAAACCCTGGCAGGACCGGAGCTGGAGATGCGGCTGTGGCAGCTGCTGGCAACGGTGCAACTGCTGCTACTGCAGAGGATGCCTGGAGGCCAGGGAAAGAAGGGAGAGCAGGAGTGACAGAGGGTGTGTTAGAGACAGGAAAACCAGGGAAGGATGGGTTTGATGATCCCAGAGGTCCCTGGGCAACAGAAAAAAGGGAAGGGACAGCACTGGACAAGTTAAGCGAGAAGGGTGGAGCGGAGACTGTTGCGGAGGCAGCGAGTCCTGAGAGCACGGCGGCGGTGGAACTCACATGGGGGGCGGACACGGCTGAAGCGCTTGTAGCCGGAGTGGCCAATAGAGACCCTGGGAGAGTGACGGGCGGGGTCAGTGCTGGGTTACCAGTAAAAGCAAAGTTACTGGTTAGAGACGTGAAAGGAGGAAGTCCATTGAACACGGGGGCAATGGGAGCAGAGGAGCCATGTGGGGCGAGGGAAATGGAAGCCAGAGAACTGGAGTTGTTCAGAGGAGCACTCAAAGAGGAGAGCCCTGACAGTGCTGGATTCAGGGAACTGGGTAAGCTGACGGGCACTGAAGCTGCTGAGGTGTATGCACGCCCAAGCCCTGGCAGTCCTAGAGCGCCATGAGAAGGGCTGGCTGAATGAGAAGGACCTTTGAAGGCCGACAAGGTAGGACTCATGGGTTCTGTTTTGACCAGAACTGGGATACTTGTGGCAGCTGGGGCTGATGAGAGCTGCTGGTCAGGATTAGTAGGACTTGTGCCATGCAAGAGGGAGGCTGATGAGCCACAGTTGACTGGCATAATCGATGGTGAAGTGGTTAAAGGTGACTGTGCAGGCAATGTGGGAGGAGTGGAACTAGAATTGGCTACAGATGGGGATGGAAGACCTGGAAAAATAGCCAGCCCAGGTGTGGAGGAACGCTGTGTGTTGGAGGTGGCTGATGGAGTGTAACATTTGTTGACAGAGGAAGTGGGAGGGTCAGAGATTTGATTACCAAGAGCAGATAAAGAAGCAAGCTCACTTGTCACAGCAGAAGGTAAAGCAGATGAATTGATTAATGAAGTGTCATTTGATGTCAGAAATCCCTTTAAGACAGACAAAATCGGGTTAGGCAAGCTAAGCGAGCCAGGAATGGTAGTGGCAGGAGAATTAGCAATTGTAGATGGAACAGGACTAGAAATCCCTTGGGCATTGGGCGGCAAGGACAAAGGGAGGCCAGCAAAGGCCGATGACAATGGAGCAGGATTATTAGCAGAAGCAACTGAAGAGGTTGCAGAGAAAGGGAGGCCAGCAAATGGTGTAGCAGCAGATGCGAAAGCTTCACTGGGTGCAGGTGTGGCACATGGAGTGGAAGAACCTTGCGGAGCGGGCATAGCAGCAGGGATAGAAGCGAGCCCAGAAAAAACTGAGGGGATAGGAGTAGAGGTTGCACTGTGTACAGATGTGACAGGAACACCAGGCAATGAAAGGGATTTGATGACAGTAGGGGTTGGGGTGGATGGCTGAGATGTATGGATGGAAGAGGAGACCTGTCCTGGGAAAACAGGAAGGACAGGGGTAGATATGCTCATCCCAGAGATGAGTGGAGTTGCAGGTGCTAATGGATGGCTTATTGCCTTGACAGGTGATGGGGTAGGGACTGGAGTAGCAGCAGGTGTTGAAGGATTAGAACCATGAGGAGTAAAGAGCTGATTCGTTTGTGCAGAAAAAGCTGCAAAGAAACAAAACCAGTAAGAATACTTGAAACTGTCAGAAATGTTTGAAATAAACATAAAAACATTTTATACAGCATTTCAAAATATGATACACAGGCAATAGCTAACACACAATGTCTACATATAAACAATGAACAGCGAGGCCTATGAAAACAAACCAAAAAGGTACACACAAACACATCACACAAATCATACACCATGTGGGCTAACGCTCCGTTTTAAAACACTCTGTGACATCTGCTACCTCTTCATGATCTCATGCAAAACAGTTAGAAACTCAAATACACTCTGTAAGAACATCTAAGTGATACAGGTAAACACCCTCCCTCTGGTCCCTAACATTTGGCAGTACCCAAATAAGACCTAATATTCCATCAGCATCAGATCACCTGGGCTCCTCTGCATCCACTCTCACTGAAGGTCAGAATTTCCTTCAGAACCAGTTAATTCAATGTATCATGATTTCAGAGAAGTTTAGTCAACAACTGAAGAAAGCTGATTTCAGGTGCTTGTAGTTTTCTTTCCTTCAAAATCAGGTCATTCTCTTCACTGTGCTTCCTTCAGATTTTGATTCTAAGAAGGTACACTTTGAAATTTATATATCACACTACAGTATTAAACTAACATTGACACTTGACTTTATCAAAAAGCACTTCTAGAAGTCTTTAGTTAGGTGTCTGTAATAAAGGCAAGCACCTGCCACTAAAAGTACCAGCTTGTGTCAATCCTAAAAAGTAAGTTAGACATATCAGTGAAGCTGCAGGAACACAGGCAGGCACACTGTGAATGGGGAGGTGGAAGTTAATGGAAAGGAGCTGCATTTATGAATGCTGGCATGTCAAGAGTCTCGATATGCCTGCCTCTAGTTTCCTGTGGAACATGAATATGTTAATAAATCATTCCTCTCAAACAACCCTTGTTTGTGCTTTATTTAACTTTTGGAGTAATCTGTTCAAATGTAAGCAAGACACTCATCCAACCAGTCAAACTCACCACCCATAACTCTCTAGCAGCCTACAGGTCTCTCTTGCCTGATTTCTACACATAATTCTACACACAAATCCAGAAAATTATTCCTTAAAATCCTGGACCTAAGTTGATATGACAAACTCCTATTTTGTGTATGTTGAAACTCTAAAACAAGTAAATCTGCCAAAAAACTATTTCCTTTGACATACTCTTTTCTAAAAAACCCCAGACTGCCCAGCTCTGGATTGTGTTGTTTTCTCATTCTATTTCCAAGCTGAAGGCTCTCCTAAAGATAACAGTTACTTAACCCTGACAGCTGAGATAATCATGAATGAAATACAGCTGTACTAGAATCCAGAGCTGAACTTTTCTTCCTAAGAGAATATTTCATTCCTTACATTGTATTTATTTAGCTGTATGAACTAACTTTGTAAAAATACATGCACACTTAGAGAGGGGTATACAAGAATGAAGTGATTCTTCAAAACATTTCTGTAGAACCATCCCTGGACATAGAGAAGGAAAGACAAAACATAACTTTTTTTTTTTGTCCCTAGTAATATTTACAGTGGCTAAACTTATCACAGTCATTTTATCTATATGCAGTATTTGTTAATATGCCTGACTCAATGGTCAGTAAATTCTCAGTTTGTCAAATCTAATAACATGGAAATACTTACAAAAAGGCTTTGATAACAAATGGAATTTATTATTATGCTTTGTACTAAGTGTACAAAGCACCACAAAAATAAAAAACAATTAAAAATGCACAACTGTCTTGGTAAAAAGAACAGGATCTTACAGGGTAAGATGAAAGTGCAGGTAGACATAGTTGGATCTAACACTCTGGGATAAGACATTCAAAAATCTCTAAATCTCTCTTGTATTCCTACCTTCTTATTGCAACTGATCTATAAAATTAAAATGCCAATGAGTTTTCCAACAGATGTCCAGAATTTTAAAAATGGAAAAGATTTACTGAAATATTTAAGTGCATGAACATTGCAAATGGTATTTTGACTTATTTTTAGTATGATTTCCTCACATACTTATATAAAGATGAATATAAAAACTTTGATAAGCTAACACAAAAGAATGAATTTTAATGTTTCAATGCTTCTAAGTACAAATGTCTGATGATTTTTCTTCTCCACTCTCAAGAGATTCTATTCCACATACTTAGTGGCTGCATACTTAGAAGTTTATGAAAATCCCACTAAACAAGTTGTTAACATTTTCTGAACAAATAACAAAGATACAATACACACAAAAATCCCCTGTGGATTTGCAGTTTACCTTGATTTTGGGAAGGTTTTGCCTGGCTGGAAAGGTCCTCATTTTCTAAACAGAGAACAGCAGCTTGTTATTGAAAGGCAAATGAAACTCCAGCAGTGAATGACCCACTCCCAGAATGAACCAGGAAATACATCATGAATATTTTTAAAGATATGCATGCTTTACCTGATACCACTTGATTAGCAGTGTATGGTGGAGGAGCTGGTAAGCCTGGAGCTATGACATTGGCCATTGGAACTAAGCCAGCATTGTTGTAAGCACCTAAAATAACAAAGGCAATACACATCCCTGTTGTCAGAAGAATCTGTATCTAGATGAACCAGTAAGCATTTTCACCTTTAAAAAAATATTTTCAACACTGTAAGACATTCCTTCATCAAAAAGCTAGACCAGTTAATTATCCAGGCTGGATGTTGGCTTTTGCCAACGTCTGCCTGAATGCCATGCATTGTGATCCAAACTTTACTAAGGGCAGTTCTCTTAAGAGAGCCTGAAAAAGTCAGGTTTCAATTTCTTTCAGATCCATTTTGCCTGAAAAAACTCAAAGGCGAGGAGTGATACAGTGTCTGCAGCATCACTGGTTCCTTTCCTATTCCTAATTTAAAGGCTGTTGCAACTCCTTCTTCAGCATTAAAGCTGGACAAACAAAGGAGCCAAACACAGATCAGTAACCATCACACCCTTTAACACTAGCCAGGAAATTCAGAGAAAAAACAATCAATCATTCTCAAATACTTTATCTAGTATTCTTCAATATTTTTTTAAATGTTAAGAAATTCAAGCAGGTTAGCAAAGTATTTTAATATAAAATTCTGACAGCAATTAACACATTAAATATATCTTTTTTCCTCTGTTATTTTTTGGAGCAACTGAAACTGTTGTATTGCTGTGGTATACAGTTCTGATGAAACACAGCTGAATTTAAATTGCAGGAACACAAGCACATTTTACAGTGGCCCTGAATTAATAGTTTAAGAGCATAAGAACTCGGGCTTCATGGGAAAAGGTAGCACTTGAATAATAATGAAAGTGCACCAATTTGTCATATAGAAGTCCTTTCTGATTTCACACTTTCATAGTAATTCCACCTGATGCTAAGATTTCTTGCACAACAACTCTTGCCTGAAAATCAGAAAAGCAACTAACAATCACTGCAGCACTCAGCAAGGAAATGTTCAAGAGGCAGAAAACAATTCAGCACCACTGACTGAAAACAATCACATTCAATAGTTTCAGGTCAGCATCTGCAATCTCATTAAACACACACATACACATATATATAATTTCACCAGCTATGAGTTCTGTTGTCACAAGAGCTTTCTTAAAACATATCTTGCAGCCTAGTAAGGCCCTGAAATCTCTAAAGTGCTTTCATATCCTAAAACTGTACTAACATTTCTATCCTGCCACAGGCCAAATTTTATGCTTTAAGGTACTTTGGATAGGATTCATTCAATATAAATTTGAGTTAGTCTGCAAGTTTCCTGCACAGTTTCTTCAGAACAAGTAATTTCCCGGGCATAAATAATCAATCAGTCTTATTTTAGCCACTAGTAGGGCCCATTTTTCTAAAATGCCTATAAAAAGACTTGCAGACGTCAAGTTGATTAGATGACTCAGCCTTCAGCATGCTTGCTAGGAGTTCTGCTTCACTTTCTTATCAACTCCCTGAAAAACTCCCTGAAATTCCAAACATGAATGAAAATCAAGTGTCCTAACCAGAGCACTCCTTGAGTTGCAGTACAGAATTTCAAGATTAGAATAGGCTTTTAGCTGCCTGCCAGACCTGAATCTGTCTACTTTAAGTATTCTAAGCTTTTTTTAATAGAAAGGGCAATTGCCTTGCCCCCTTCCAAAAATCTCTTGACTCTAACAATTGATGCAGCAGAGCAAAGAGAGGAGCTTATGAATAAAGGCTCAATCTTACTTAAGGCACTAGGCTAGAAATAGAGCAAAGGCAGGGAAAAGCAATCACTATTTCCCTTCTAAGACTGAAATCTGCTTTTCTTTTAGGAAACTGTACTCTCCATTATGATGGACAGAAGGTAAAGCTGAAGGTAGGTGAGAAACAGATTACAGCCCTTCAGCAAGTTCTTACAAAGTTCCACCTAATTCAGGGCCATGGCTGACCATATTCCAAGCTGGGTTCTACAGCAACAAGTCAGACTTGTCAAACCAAAGCCCAAGCCTTGGCCAAATGCTACAACAAAGCCAAAGCCCTTGTCTTGTTTAACATGCACAATACCTCCCATAAATTAAATATTTTGTAATCAGAACAGGATTGTGATTTTTTTCTTATGGATGTTGGAAAAAGAAGTCAATATATTCCTGTCTATCAATTCTGCTGTCATGAAGGAAAAGGTAGAAACCAGCACCCAGAACATGCTCAGGGAGCAGAAGGCAATTTCAGATACAACCATGGTCAGAGAAACCAACACTTGACACGTTGCTTAAAAGGCAAAAGCCTGAATAGCATCAAGCTTGAACACATAGAAATCTTACTTGGTGCAATAGTTGCATGTGGCCGACATGGTGGGATGGGGTATGGAACTGGTTTGTGTGGATTGTACGTTGATGGAGCCTACGTAAACAAAAAACAAATGGAAAAAACAAAAGTGAAAGCATTAGGTAATGTTTCTCAGACAAAAAGCTAACATTCAGATACTACTACAGACAGGCATTCTTTTCCACAAATATAGATGCTATGAAATTTTTTCATAACATCCATAGTGACTACAAGTATTTCACTCTTTCTGAAAAGAGTGAAACAAACATCACTAGTATACCTTTAGATTTTAATAGAAAACTGAGCACAAGTGGGAAAGGGAGCTCCTTTCTGCCTTGCAGTTCTCATACTCTGCAGTTTTGGACTGACTTCTCATTTTAGAGGTTTAGCACATTTAAAATTAGCATGCATTTCTGAAGGTATCTACTTTTTAAAAATAATACATCTTTGTGGGAATCATCTCATAACAGAAGTGATAATAAAACATTTGGGCAATACTTCAAAGTAGTAACAGGTTCATTGAAAGTTTGTCCCACAAGCTTAAAAATTTTGAAATACAGATCAGCTGTGTTGTTAAGAAACAAGAACTACTTTCTAAGGCACTGCTGTAATTCAAGTTTCAAAGATGGAAGCTTTTTCTGTTTATGTGAGAAATCCTCAGAGAGTAGCTCATGATGGATTACCAAAAATGCTTTTAGTTTTCTATTCTGCTACTGTAATTTAAATTCTGTCTTCAAATGCACATACATTGTATCCAGCAGAGAATCTTACCCCTCTACAGATAAAAACTAGAGCTCATTTTCAAGTTAAATAAAAACATACTAGGTCATATTCATTACAGAAGTTTAGCTTCAATTAAATTGCTGCTCTACAGTCTTCTTGCAACATAACAGCACTGTATAAAAAAGCCTTGTTGAATTGGCTGGTAGCTGTTTTGGGGATTTTTAAAGTGTCATTTATTTATTAATTTTTAGACATACTGGTTTGGATGGTCCAAGTATACGGGCTGCTATTCCTTTTCCTTCATTAGTACATTCTTCCGTATCCTTTTTGATTGGGGTTCCCTGAAACAGAAGAAAATTGAACCAAGCACTAATTTAGAAGCAAACCTTGCTGTACAATTTTGCCATATTTTTATTTTTTTTTCTGAACTGCATTTGAGTTTTTGAACATTCTGAAAGTAACCATGTTTGTCAGGGAAAAAAACCAACTCAACTAAGTGTTTCAGGTTTGTAAAGTAATGAGTAAGAGCATTCCAATAGCTTGGTTTGTAACACAGAGGTTTTGTAAAGAGAGACATTTTAAACAGTGCATGTTGATGATGGAATTCTGCATTTTGATTTGTGGACATGATAACATTAATTTCAGTTAATTTTGCTGTCCCTTAAGTGTTCACAGGAAATGCTTGACATGCTTAAGAGTCACACTGAGATTAGCAGTAGCACTGTAGTGACCATACTAGGTCACCTTATCAACCTACAAGCAAGCCTCTCAACACCTCTCCCAATTCTGCCAAATACTACTGGAGTTTACAATGTTTTCCTGATATGAACAATCTCTTATTTATGACATTGTTCAGGTAATCTTTACCTGAAGCAGCATAGAAAGAATAGGCAAATAAGAATAATGCAAGTTCCTTATAAATGTGGAATGGGGTCAAATAAACAAACCCAACAAACACACTTTGGTTTTGATTCCACTCCTCCTTCCATGTAAATGAATTCTGGGTTTGGTGATACTATAATAAATCTTAAATCAAAGTTCATTTGTGAAAAGCAAAAGCATAGGATCATGCTTACTGGAAAAATTCCATTTATGCGGCTTGGTTTTCCCTTGGGATAAGGATTGCCAGGAATCATGCCACAGGATGATATCATAGCATGAGGAGCCTTACAACCTGTTTTTGAAGCCTGCAAAATAATCAAGAAAGAACATTATATGCTATCAAATTCAATGCTCTAAAGAAACTAGTTACTATTTCACGACACTTAGACTGCATGAATCAACCTACACGGAACAACTGAAGTCTCTGTCTCAAGCCTTATTCCAAATAATCCAAAGAGTGTAAACTTTTGCCAAAGTCCCTCTCTGCTTACGCTGAACTTGGGCTTAAGCACTTGGTGTTCTCTAAAACAAAATACAAACTGTTTCCTCCAGCATTGGTTGCAATTCTGTATCCCTTTTTCCATATGTTCCTAATGCCTGACAAAAACTTCTACTTTTGTTGCACATGCTCTTACCTTTTTGCAGTTGCTTGTTTCAGCTTGTCTTACACCAGCAGCTCCCAGAAATCCTCATGCTAAGCCCTGACCCCACAATGACCACAAGGATACAATCCTAACAGAACCAAGGATATTAGTTTATCTTGATTACCTGTTCAAGAATTCTTCTGCATCTTTTCTTCTCTGACATATTAATTCTGAACAGATCTTCAATCAGGCGATAATTCTGAGCATCAACAATGTTGCTGTAAAGACATTGACAGACAATTAATGCCATTCCACTTGCATAAGCTGAAACAATGCACCATTGAAAAGTGACCCACACTTAGCCACTACCCAAAAGCACATTAAAAAAAAACATAATTAGTTCAGATCATAATATTACTATTATTAAAGTAAAAATCCTAGGCTTAAATATGGACTCCATACTGGTAAGTAAAACATGGTATTGGAACTAAATATCAATACAGAATAATGGATGATGATGGCTAAACTTTATTTCAAAAGTATGTAGAATAAATGAATTTTGCATCACAACAGTGATGCCTTGAGACTCAAGGCATCAACAGTTCACTAGAAAGCTTTATTACTACTAACACACAATTCCTAGCACAGCAGAAAACTAGTAGCTACTCAATTTGCCACTGTTTCTTGCCAGTCTGGTGGAAAAACAAGTTTTCATCTCATTTAATCTAGGATGAAAAAGATAATTCCTGGTAAATCTCTCTAAGTTCTGCAGAGCTAGTGAAAGCCTTCATATAGCTCCAAAACATACTCCTCATCTCTCTTCTTCCTCAAACAACACTAGACACACCAGAGAAGAAAATATGTGACTACAAGGAGAGACCAATGCCTGCTTCTATCCAACTTATTCAAAATTCTGACCATTTTTTTACCAGCACTTCTCTATCAAATATTACCTGTGCCATGCAAACTACTCGAAATACAATACAGTACCAAAAAGGAGGACTCCTCAAAGAAGGATATTAAACAGAAATTAAATCAGCAAAACATTGAATGAAGACACAAAAAACATCTAAAAGAACAGTATGAATGAGCTTTCAGCTTTGTTCACTATTCCTGATTAATGAAGTAAGCAGTGCATAGATTTGGATTAGGATTTGTAATCATGACTCCCTTACTTTGCTCTAGTACTGTAGAAATTCTACAGCTAAGGAAGTTATTGTGCTTTCCCCCCACCTCAGCTGAAGTGTAGCAATTGAACAGTCCAAGGGCTCCAGTCTCATTACAAGGTAACAGGTTACTCTTGTGTGTCACTAACTTTCCTTTGGCTATCCTGTTTTGGTTCGGTCTGAAATAGACTAGGAGCATTGACATGGCTCCCTTAAGCTCAACTCCTAAAGCAAAACCATGTCTGTATCCCCAGTCTTAACTGTTTTATGGATATTTGTACCATGAAATTATAAGCCAAAGTTCAAGCAGGCAGTAGTACAACATTCACAGGGAAGATAGATATTCTTAAAGCAAAAAAAAACCCAAACAACCAAAAAAAAGAATACTTTATAAAATTAAAATCCCCTGAACAAAGCAGAAGACTTCCATTTTAAATACGTGCAATAGATCCTTTGAAGCAGCTCTGTTCACTAGGAAAATCCTAACTTTCTCTGTAAATAAAAATTTAGAGTATCTATTTTATTTATAGACAATAGATTTGTCAGTTTATGAGATCTATTTACTTAACTCACTTCTACATATGTAATATTTAGAGGACTTTTTTGAAATGGGTCAATTCCCAGAATTTCCTGGTCTCAGGTCTTTCGGATTTCAGTGAGCAGAGAAATAAGGTTAAGGCCCTCTTTGTTCTCTACAACATTTGAAGATCACAGTAAAAACACCACCAAAAGCGCCAGTCTTCCAGCAGGCAGAAGCTCACATAGCAGCAAGAAATATGGAATTTTCCACAATCTACAATCATGGGTTTGAAGCACCTTAAATATCATTCAGCTCCAAAGCCCCTTCAGGTGAGCAGAGGGACCTTTTATTCAGGCTGCTCAGAGCCCCATCCAGCCTGGCCTTCAACATTTTCAGGGCTGGAATCTTCTCCAGACAACCTGTGCCAGTGCCTCACCATCCTAACAGCAAAGAATTTTTTCCTAATATCCACTTTAAATCTACTCTTTTTCATTGTGAAGCCATTCCCCTTGTCCTGTCATTAGCTCTCTTGAGGGTCCCTTCAGGTAGCAGAAGGCTGCAATTATGTCACCCTAACTCATTCCAGGTGAAACAAACCCAATGCGTACTTCTACAACATCTGCTTCTAATTATTCTTTTAAACAGCTCCATCAGTAATGGACTTCTGCTTTACCTTAACCAGGCACAGTGCTTCCTTCTAAGAGATCTAAAGTTTTATATCCTCAAATATGAGCTAAACCAATACAAGTTAAGCAACACAGCAGAAGAGATACTTACGAAGCTAAGATTTCAAGGGCAATAAGTTTATCTTTACTGAAGGTGAAGCAGTTGAGAATATTAACCATTTTCGATGCTGGAACTGCCACTATTTTCTAATAAGAAAGAAAGAAAAAGGTGTGTATAAAATAAAACAGCACAACTATTTTATACTCAGAATACAATTCAGTAACAGCTTCATATGGTACATGTCAGTAAACTTTTAACAGCCTCTCCCTCCCATTGGGAAGGAGACTCTATACAATAAATTATGAACAAGCACCTCCAAAAAGCAGTCACCAAAAGCAAAGAAATTAGGAGAGTTAACAAGAGTTAGAAAAGGTTACATCTCCTTTTGTGATACACAGGAAAGTAAAAGTCACTTTAGTCAGAAAAGATACCCCAATTAGAAGTATGAAATTTCATAGCTTGGTACCACTGAAGGCGATGAAGAAGAAACTTTGAAGATTTTGAAGGGTATATTGACTCATCAGTTGAAATTATCATAAAATTAAAATAACATTAAGACAGCAAATTTATTCCACAAGATCGTGTCACAAGAACTTACATGTTGTAAAGCCTTTATTGCCTTAAGCTGTGGTTCTGCCCAGGAGAAGTATCTCAGTAATTCAACAACCTGCAACAGTAAGGCCTTCCATTAATGTTTCAGATATACTAAAAATGTATGTTAACAACATCAATATGACCTTTCCACTTTTGTAGCACATTAGTATACTGCTAAAAAACATCTGTCTGTGGCAGCTGATTGTCAGTGCCTACCAGCACCTAACCCTCTATTTCTTTCTAAGTAAGCACCTAAAATTTCTATTTTATGAGATGAAGATTTTCTATGAAAATACTTAAAACACTTACTTTCTGATATATATTTGCATATATGAATAACAATACTGCTGTATTAGAATAAGTAAAAAAAAAATAAATAAAATATCAACTGTCTCTGAAAAACCTTATCAACTATCAGGATCCCAAACAGCATATTCCCAGGCATACACCAAAAAAAAGCCAGCAGGAAAAGAAAGAGGAAAAAGAAAATCTACATATTATCATGTTACATTATCTCTCTATAGACAATACACACAAAACAATTCTAAATTCTATTACGATAAATTTATACAACTTTCCAGACCCAAAAAGAATGAAAATGTAGTGATTTTGATGACAAAGCAACTTAGCACTCTTTTTAATAGTGTCATGCTGATATAATAACAAGGAATTAAATCTCCTCAATAAATATGAAAAGCTAATATGATCAGCCTCAGTATGACTGAAGACAAACACTGTGTATTCCTGAATACACAAAAACAACAGCTCCCATTAAACCCATAACAGTGTTGACTTTACCTGTTCACTGGAAAAGTATCCATGAACATATTCAATAGCTTTTAATTTGTACTCAGTCAATACAGCCTAAAAGATACAGAAAAAAAAGGATGCATAATTAGTGACTCAAAAATCATAATTAGAGCACAACCATCTGCTAATCTATTAATCTAAAATCTGCCCCTACAAAGTGACATTTGCATCAATTACATTGTAGCATTTTGAAGTAACTGGACTTCTTAGGTAACTGAGAACAGTGAAAAGCAGGAAGATGTGATTTATTCTGTTAAAAAATACTCATTGCTTTATTTACTTGATTTTGCTTTTTCATTGTTGCTTATAACTGTGCTGAGAAAACACCATCACTCTTCTATTTGCTCCAATGATTTACATCAACTTGAAGTTATACAAGATAATGCAGTTGATTATTCAGGCAATCGCTTTGTATGGGCCCTGTAAACTAACTGGCAAAGTATTTTATTTCAATGAATTTATGAAGAAATTGGATAACAAGCCTATACAGATAGATTAAATATACAACAAAGCTTGGTCCAGAGATGGATACTGTCTTATCACTATCCTTATGGGTTCCAAGCTTTAACATGCAGTCATACCAAACAAAGAAAGCACAGTACTTTAATGCAGCATTGGCCTTTTGACTCTGTGGCAAGACAGTTGTGTTGATAACCACATGAGCTCTCTAATTGCCAGGACTTCCTCCCTCCCCTGTACCCAGCCTTCTGTGACAGGTTCGAGATGTAACGAAGACAGCTAACAGCTGAATTCCTGCCCCAAGACAGTGAAAACACCTTTCTTCCATAGTTTCCAAGTCCCCCCTCTAATGCTAGGTCTCATGTAGTCTCAAACCACCTTTAGCTTTACCCACACACCCACTTCTATTTTCCTCCCAACAACCCCCTTCCTTTCTGTACCTCATTAAGAGAAACTACCAGACACACTGAAGTCACAGGGGAGAAAGAATTTCTGCCTTTATGCTCATTTTTTCTTCTATTCCTTCCTCCTCTTCATGTGTTTTGGAAAAAAAGCATGTCCTTTTTTTTCTGAAATAAATGTTACTTTCCTTTCTTAAATCAACAACTTAATGACTTTATAACAAGAGTACAAACAGAAAGCACTGCTATGCATATTTATGGAAGGAACAAACAAACAAAACTGCCAAAGTTTATTTTGCTAGTACTTGTAAACACATAGAGGGAAAAACAGAAGTAAGCTACACATGAAGACATTTAAATAATTGTTCCTGCTAACTGCAGGACTGAAAATGGAACATGCCAACACAACAAACTTGTAAATCACATAAAAAAGAAAGTTCTACGACAGAACTAGAAATGAAGCTTAAACAAAAACATAGCAGCAAAGACACAAAACCAGCATTTGGACAATGAATGTTACACCACAACAGCACAACTATTATGAACACTTAGATCAACAGGGAGTTGGAATACAGGAACAGAAGCAGATAGCATAGAGGAAACATAACTGCCTAAAATCACATGCCTAAACCCTTTTGTCTGAAGTCTTTAGTAATCACAGAGTGTATTCTGAAGGACTGCACTGCAGTAATATAATTGAAACGTTACTCCCTCCCACCATCAATCATCAGAGAAAGCATTCATGTGCTAGTTGTTCCTTGATTTTTTTTTTGTGGTCCCCAGATTTTCCACACAAATTCATAACGTGGAAGTCCACATCCTGAAATATCTTAGACTGTCATGTTTTTAGCTATTTTATGAAAGAGACCTTATGACCATGACCTATGCAAAAATGTAGTTGTGATAAGAAAGACACTCCTGGGGCTTCTGATGAACAGTTTTATACCTCAATATGGTTTTATACCTCAACATGTTGCAAAATAATAATACTGCAATTGCAGCCATCACTGTCTCATGCCGAAGAGAAACTGAACTGAAACTCAACTCCAGTACCCAAGTCCAACTAAAGGAAATTTACCTCTCCTAGACAAACCAACACAACAAAAAATTCTACTTAACACAAAAATGCTACGGACTGCTGTTGCACGACGAGGAAATCCCATCTGAAACAAGCCCTTCCTTGTCACAGCAAGACACCTTTGGCAGGTAAACTGTTCTACTGTGACACTTAAATAACCTCTGCTTAACTGCAACAAAATACATCATCACAGGTTTCTGCTTCCCAGGCAAAACAAGAAACATTAATCTTAAAGGTTCTGGTTTTTTCTCTCCTTCTAGCATTCAGGGAAGTGTGCCAACGACTAACCTCAAGCTTTCCTCTTAAAATCAGGCCCCCGTGCAGACACGGAGCCCTGCCAGACACGAGGAAGCCCAGGTTTATACCTCTTCTCCCCAGAACCTGCAGTATTTTGTTTGGAGAGTTTTTAAACAGGAGATGAAGAAGCACAGCTCAGAGCATGCATCAAAACGCAAGATTGACATTCCAGAGGAAAAAGGTGTGCACACAGCCACTCCTGAGCTGTGGGAGATGTGATTTCTGACTACAGAATGGAGCTCAGAAATCAGTTCTCACGTCCTATTTGTGCATCGTACCTCCTAAACCAGCGTATAAAGGTGGGTACTTCACACTGCCTCCGGACAGGCCAAACAACCGCAGCCTGTCCCCCAAATAAGACATGCTTGGATTGTTTGGTTTTCTCCCTCATCTTCCCTGAAAGTGAAAATGCTGCAGTAACTTTATCCAAGTGCTTGTTTCCAATGAGGGCTCAAGATCATCCAGACCCAACCACGCCTGCTATGAGCAAGGACACCTCCCACTAGACCAGGTTGCCCAAGGTCTTATCTAACGTAGCCTTGGACACGGCCAGGACTGGGGCATCCCCGGGCAACCTGTTCCACTGCCTCACCACCTCCACAGTAAAGAATTTCACGTTAATGTCTAAGCTAAATGTCCCCCTCCTTTCGATTTGCAGCCATTGCTCCTTGCCCTACAGTCCACCACCAAATCATTAAATCAACACACAAAACGAGAATTTACCTTCCTAATTTCATCCAGCACGGTTTCAAATGATTTCTTATCCATCTTGATTATTGCCGACACTCAAACCGGAGGAAATAACACTAGTGATTAAAAACAATCCTAAATGTCTTTGAGCATACAGGAAAAAAAGGATTTAAGAAATTAAATAAATAAAGAATGCCGGGCACGGAAGGTGGCCGGGGCTGTCCTCGGCCCCGGGGATGGAGCGCTGCCGCCTCTGCAGTGGCGGACACGGAGACAAAGGCGCCCTCCGGGAGCCGCCGGGTGCGCCCGCTCCCCGCGCGTCCCGCGGGCGCTCCGGCGGGCGCAGGGGTCGCAGCGGCGGCGGGAAGGGAAGGGAAGGGAGGGGAAGGGAAGGGCGGCAGCCCCGCTCAGCACGCGGCACCGCGGCCCGGGGCGCCCCCGCAGAGCATCGTTCGCGGCGCCGCCGCCCTGCGATCCCGGCGGGCAGAGCCGGGGCGGACGCGGGCGGCCCCGGGGGCAGGCGGGCCAGGTGAGGAGGGCGGCCCGGGAGCGGCGTGAGCCCACAGACAGCACACCCCCTCCGCCGGTCCCGCCTCCCTGCCGTCGCGCCCCTATGGCATCACAGCGCAGAGCGAAGGCCCTTTTCCGCGCTGGGCGACGATAGCGATGCCTGCACAGCAGCGGCGGGAACGCGGGGCGGCCTCGCCCCTCGCCCGGTTCCCGGAGCCGTGCCGGAGCGCTGAGCGCTGCCCCGAGGCACCACGGCGCCCGCCCCGCACCTCCCCCGCGCCGCCGCCTCTGCTCCCGGGCCCGGCACGGCGCGGGGAGCAGCGGCCGCCGCGGCGATGTGGGAGGGGCGGTGGCCACGTGGCTGCCATGGCAACCGGCCCGGCCCCCGGGAGGCGGGAGCGGCAGCGGGGCCGGGGCTGCGGCTGCCATGGCCGGGACGCTGCTAGCGCTGCTAGCCCTGCTCGGCGGCTCCCAGGTGCGCGGCGGCCGCCCGGGGCTTCGTGCCAGGGCCCCGGTTCGGGTGGGCAGCGGGGAGGGCCCGGCGGGGCCGCCGCGAGGGGCGCGCCCTCGGGCGCGGGTACCGGCGGGGCGGGAGGTGCGTGCGGCGCCCGGGACGCGTCCGCTCTCGGTGCCTCCCGCGCCGCTTGTGGCTTTTGGGTTCCGGGCGGAGACCGCGGCACTGGGCGGCTTCGCAGCCCCGCCGAGGTAGTGCCGGCGCGGGGCGGCCCCTTCCAGGGGGTTGCAGGCGGCGTGCTGCGCCCCAGCGAGGAGAAGGGAGCTTTTGGGTATCTGACTTCCTGCTTGATACTGGCAGGTGTTCTCCTTGCTCCTTTGCTCGCCGTTTTCCGTCGTGATAGCCCGGCCTGTCTGTCCGCAGCTCTGTGTCATCCGTGTGCCCCCTGGTCCCGGCAGGGCAGGAACAGAAGTGTCAGTGGCCCTGGGCCTTCAGGGTCTCCCCTTACTTGGCTCTGTGGTGACTACTCTCAGTGCTTAGCTTCCCCTTTTCTGCTGGAAAAATAGAACAAGGAGGTGGAAGATTAATTTTTTCCATTATTGATTAAAATGTATACATTGACCCGAGTCTGACTGTTCCTGGCGTTTTACACTTCTTCATTTTCAAGGTGCAGTTTTCATTCTTGACCTGTTTTTTTTCTTATTTTCACATCTTGAAGTGGCTGCTGAATCTGGTGCATTTGGAACCTTCTGTACTATTTTCCTCACTTTGGAGAGTGATTTACAGATATTAACAGCAACTCTGGTGTAAGCAATTTCAGGGTGTGTGTTTTGCCTTCTAATTCCAGAGTTCCCTGATCCAAAGGATTCGATAAGCAGATTGTTGAAGCTTTCCCACTTGTAGTCCAAACCCCTAGCTGCAAGCCTGCTTCTGTTTTTCTGCCTTGTTAATTTAAATTGAGTAAATGAATCTGTGATGCTTCAGCACACATTTACTTTCAGCTGCTGTTTCCTTTGATCCCACCCTCATGGAATTTCACTACTATATATTTCTTTTGTATTCTCAGGTTTTGAAAGCAGAGTACTTCTCTCCTTGGAAGGGAGAGCAACAGATGTACAAGCTGGACATAGGCTGGCCTAAAACTCCAGAACACTTCACTGGCCAAACATTTTGTGTTGCTGTTGACTCTCTCCATGGTTTGGTCTATGTAGGACAAGTGAGTGGGAATACTGTAGTTCTCTCTTTGTTGTTTTTGTGGTTTTTTCCTTTAAAGTGTCTGGCTAAGATTTGTATATATATGTGTATGTTTGTTTACATATATTTATATATTTTTATATATATGAATAATTATTGTATCAAACTCAGAGAAAATATAAACAGAAATGTCTCTGCTATATCTATTTTTGAAAGCAGTTCTGGCACAACATTTTTTTGTGTGTTTTTTTTTTAAAGCATTACATTTCTGTGGTATGAATGCATGATCCAACTTAACTGAGTTACAGCAGCTTGTTCCCTCAGCTGTAAAATAAAATGTGATTCTGGGGCAACTGAATCTTCCATTCTTTGAGGGCTTGTCCCGTGACATCAAAACCACACAGCTCTTTCAACCAGTTAAAAGTAATTTGGGTTAAATTATTTCCTCTACCCAGGTCCATGTGTGAGTATCTCTAGGCCATGGATAAGACATTCTCTCCATGGGATGTCGTGGGAATTTTTTGTAAAGCACAATATGAGTACTTGAGTGCCATGCAGCTAATAAGCACTGTTGCCGTTTCTCATGCCCATTACATTGGGCACGCTTTTCAGCAGGAACACAAAATCACAGTTCAAGCTGAAGACCAGGATAGCTGCAGGCACTTGGCTGCTCTGAAAGCTGGACTCTGTGTGACGTAAAGGTGAAAGTCCAGACTGACTGGAAGGTTTTTTCATGCTAAATTTACATCCATATCTCTTTTTCCTTTTCTAGCTGGAAAAAGGGTTCTAGCAGACAGTCACATCAGGAGATTCTTTCAATTCATGAAACATTGCAAAAACTTAACAAAGAGGAATTTTAAACTGTAAGATTACTTAATTAATATGTTTTCTTTAGAACTTTTTTTACCTTTTCAGCGAGGAGACAATGTGCCAAAGGTACTTGTATTCTCAGAAGAAGGCTATTTTCTTCACTCCTGGAATGATACAGTTGAAATGCCTCATGGTATCTTTGTTTGGAACACTGCAACAGGAAGTTCAGTATGGATCACAGATGTTGGAACAGGTATGCATCGTGGTGGTATGAGAAATATTCAGTGGGGAAGAAAATGTAATATTGCTTTAAACAACTCACTTATTTAAGTCTGTCAGCAATTCTGAGATTGATTTGTGCTTTACTTGCCATGAACGAACTTCTCAGGTGCTGCACAAAATAGTGTGAAGTTTCATGAGTTGTGCTGTGTGTCTGCTTACAGCTGCTGAGCTTCAGCACTCAAGCACTGAGTACTGTCAGCACTCCTCCCTACCACCCAGAAGTATCAGGGAGAAAATCCTGATAGACATAAGTTTAGCCTTGCTAGACCTAGGTTTGGTGATCCTAATACAGCGGATGAATAGTGTCACAGCCTGTGGATTTACTAATCCATTGTCATAACCTCATTATAGAATTTTGTCTGTTAAATATATTAATATTACTTACTTTTGAGTATCAGATCTTCAATCTTTGCAGTCAGTTTTAATACTTACATTTTGTTTTGTTAAGATGTTTTTGCACTTTCTTTTTTCCTTGATGCAGGGAAATACGGACACACAGTGAAACAGTATGGCCCTTTGGGCAAACTTATGCAGGTCTTGGGCACACCTGGTAATGCTGGTTCAAGTTTGATTCCCCTGCAATTTGATCAACCAGCAGATATCTTTGTGGAGGAAACTGGAGAAATCTATGTTGTTGATGGAGATGGAGGAATGAACAACAGATTGCTCAAACTATCAGATGGTATGGAAAAAGGAACTCTTGCAGTAGTTGACCGCTGAAAACTGGATTTTAAATAACATGGCTTGGGAATATTTTTAGGCAAGTACTAGGCAGAACTGTCATTTAACTTTAGCTTGAAGATCTTATTGAATCAGAACCTGTTTTACTGCTTGCTGCTTCAGGAGAAATCTCCTAGTCATTAATGAGAAAAGGCTGAGGGAGTGACTTTGTTCAGTGTCCTGGTTACCCCAAGACATTCAGTCTCCAAGAAAGAAACCTAAGGGGGATTCTTATTGCTGCCTTAAGTCAGTAAAAGGAGGCTATAGAGAAGACAGAGGCACATATTTTTTTGAGATATACAGTGAAGAATGAGGAACACAGAGCAAAAGATTCAAGACAAAGTAAGGATGGTCAGACAGTGAATGACAGGGTGGTCCAAAGATGGTTTGCTCTCTCCATTCCTGTAGATGCTCAAAAGCTGATGAGTTATGGGCAACTTGATCTAACTTGAGAGTTGGCTTTTTTATCAAGGCTAGTCCTGCTTTGAGGTGCAGGTTGGACCAGGCAGTGTCTGGAGGACTTTTATACTTAAATTGTTCTGTGATTCTAATTAGCTCACTCATACTCCTCAGTTAGGACAGTGACTAAAGAATCTGCACATGTCCGCAGCTGGAATAAGTGGAGGAGCTACTCCATTTTCCTATCAAAAAGCTGATACTTACCTAGTTTGCAAAATGGTAAATTGTTAAATGTGAAAACTTCCAGGTAACGAGTGTTAAAAATCAATTTAGGAAATAAATGAATAGCATAATCAGCCAACTTACTTTTTTTCCTTTTTGTATTTTTTTTTTTAATTCAGTGTTTAACAGAACCTTGGATTATGGCTCTTGTGTATTACTGGCTACATTTTTGTAACCATAATCGTGAAACCACTAATAACAATCCAGTAGTCACTGTAGTATTCATGTTTTCTCTCAGATTTATGTATTGGGAGTACTGTGTTTATACAGTTTAGAAATCTCACCTTTTACCTTTTGCAAAGTAACTTTGCAAGAGAGTGACTTAAAAACTGGTTTATTTGTTGTTTTCTCACTGTGATTTTTTTAACTTTTATCTTTCATGGTGCTCACTGTTCAGACTACAAAGAGATATGGCTGACTGGAACAAATGGGAGTGGCATTGGTCAGTTCAAGATTCCTCACAGTGTAACAGTGGATGCTTTTGGACGGGTAAAGAATTGAGGAAATTTTTTTATTTAA